TCTATACCAAAGTTCTTACTATGTCACATGCCTTAAAGTCATGCAAATTAACTCGAACATCTAGAATACAATCAGCTATTTACTCAGGAAGTGGATTACACTTTAAAAACCCGACCAGGGAGACACACAATGATACAATATAATACATACTACCATTAACAAGGTTAAGCTTATATCCCTCAAAGGGATGCCACAGGCAAGTAACCTCTCATAACTAGACCAGCCCTTAGAAGTATGTTTAGCAAGGGAAATTTCTGCATCCTTTTTTTCTCATCTTTTAGGCTTTAAAGTTGCGTCTTTTACAGCAAAGGGCTAAAAAGACCTTACCTTGACCTCATCCACATCAACTGTGAGAAAATACATATTATGGTACATAGAAGCCAATTCCTCCATAAAGGGTTTCATAGCCACAGAGGGAATACACCAAACAGCCGTAAAGTGTGCCACAATCTACAAATACACACAAGGAAAAAATGAATTTGTACACATACTAGAAACTGGAAACTTCAATAAAGATTCCAACTTTAGAGAAACAAAAATCAAGATTTACTTACAGGGCATCCTTGAAGTGTGGCCTGATTTACATGAAAATCCCATGATTCCTTAGAGTCTACCTTCACAACTCTTGATTTAGTCCCCTGTTCTTGAACTTCCATTATTCCTGCTTACAATTGAGAAGGCCAAATTTGTGTTTATCCAAAATAGTTACTAAAGAGATGAAAAAAGGAGGTCTTTTTTTCTAAAAAAAAATTAAACCCCACCTTATGAGTTATGCATTTTTGGCTAAGCTTAAACTGATAGAAGTTTTGGACCTTTCTCGAAATTTCTTCCTTATCTAGTTTTAATAATGACAAATAGATTAGCCTAGAAATTAAAAAGTTTTTTTTTTTTTTAAACTTTATGATTGTGCTTTCCTCAATCTGATTTTAGTGATGACAACTGGGTTAGGCACAACTGCACAATTATAGTGGTGATTTTTAAGGAGTCGCAGTAACATTCTGGAGCACACTTAATAAAGAGTAAAAATATCATATAAAATATATATGAAATTTTAGTAATTATATTGGTTGATTATTTAGACTTTTACTTATTGATAAGGGTTCGATTCCTTAACAAACTTGAGTGGTTGATTTTCAGTTCTACTTAAACTTTACGGCTCTATATATAATTGTTGGCTATTGCCTATAAGAACGTTAACCAAATTATAAGGATGTCACATGGACCTGGGTCTGACCCATTAGAGGCCCGAGCTGATTTGCACATATAGAAACTTTCAGTGGCACTATTTAAAATTTAGCCTCATTTTTTAAAAGTATAAAAATAAGGACAAATTACTTAACTACACTTCCTTACTTACCTTAATATCCATTTATCCCTACTTATTTCAAAAATCCCTTATTTACCTATGTATCCCGCATGTATCTCGTGTACAACGCTATGTATTCCGCTATGTGGAATGTATCAAATGCTATGTATCCCGTGCACAACGCTATGTATCATGTCCACAACACTATGTCCCGCATGTATCCCGTGCACAACGCTATGTATCCCGCTATGTGGAATGTATCAAACCTAATGTATCCCGTGCACAACGCTATGTATCCTGCTATGTGAAATGTATCAAACCTAACGTATCCCGTGCACAACGCTATGTATCTCACAAACATCATTTTTAAGGGATTTTTGGTAAATAGAAAACTAGAAAGGATAGGATGTTATTTAGTACTTATAATATGTGGTTCCTATAATTTATACTAAAAATAATCTTTTCACCAAAAGTAGGAGCAAAATTCTGGTATGTCAGCCAAAAAAATTGCTGTATTTGATATTGAGCAAGTTTTACTTAATAATAATTTATTGTGATCATCATGATTTTGGTCACAACAAATTCTGACAAATTATCATAATTTTAATCACAAGATCTGCCTTAACAAGTTATGGTAATGTTAGAATTTAGTTAGAAATCTTATTGAATTATGGGGAGAATCCTAAATCATCATGAGTTTTTCTCTGAAAATTTTAGAAGAAACCTTTTTGCTTTAAAATTATGCTCCGTTAGGTTTATAGGGGCATGGTTGGGACAAATTATTAACGAATAACAAATATTGAGTTTGCATATTTAAAAGGTATTTTAACCCTTTTCCTCTTATTTTAAGTGATGATAATTTTGATACTCGTATAGATTTGGCTAAATCTCAAAAAAATTGTACAGTTTCTTAATCTTCACATTCTGTTATATGTAAAATTTGAGATAAAGTAATTTGGAACTTCCTTCTCTTCACCTTCAATTGGTGGTATGTTGTACGAACATCTTAAAGCCTAAAAGGTGAAAACCTTCTGATGAAGGAACCATATGAGACACCTACACTCAATTTATAACAAAGGGAAGGAATCTCTTTGTATGACACTATTAAGTTATCATAGTTCGACATATAATAGGAGATTAGACTACTTTTTTTATTCATTCGACAAGCGTTCATCAATTTCAACAAATATCTGTCAAACATTATGATGTGTACATCCAAAATCTCTTTGGTCCAGGTGTCAACATGCTACAGCTTGGAAAAGAACCTAATCCAACATGTCAACAATTAAGGCATTGATTGGCTGATGGAATATCCAAAACCAGATAAGGTGATCCTAAGTGTAATCACTCTGCATCACAGACACCAGAAATTGCAATATCCACATCATTCGTACCACAAACATTAACTTATAATTCCCAAACACTTGTAATCACTCTTAACTGAAACATTTTTTCATCACCAAAACAAAAAGGTCCTGAGAAATGGCTCATGCTATGGCTTCTATGGGTGGCCTAATTGGTTCTTCACAAACTGTCTTGGATGGTAGCCTCCAGCTTAGTGGCTCAGCTCGCTTGAGCACTGTCAGCACCACCAGAATTGCCTTGTCTAGACCAGGACTCACTGTCAGAGCCCAACAGGGGTCTGTTGACATCGAAACTAGCCGCAGAGCCATGGTTGGTCTTGTTGCTGCTGGCCTAGCTGGCTCCTTTGCTAAGGCAGCTTTTGCTGAAGCCAGGTCAATTAAGGTTGGCCCCCCACCTCCTCCCTCTGGTGGATTGCGTAAGTCGTCTTTTTTGCTTTCTTTCTTAGTGATGAATCAACTTCTTCTTTTATAGATGTTTCAATTTTTTTCTATTTCAAACACCTATATATATATAAAGTCTGAATTACACGCGCCTAGTCTAGATCCATCACTGATTACTCTAACGATACAATAGTAATTTCATAACAGATATACTTATGGACAATTGATATAGTGTAAGATTCACATATCCAAGACAGAGAACCTAGGAGTGACCCTCAAATGCTGCATTTCAATTTTTAGTAATTTGATCCTTTAGATCAAGCAACTTGATATTTATATCAGCATTTCCAATTGAAAGATGGATCAAGGAAAAGATTAATTTAGATTGTTATAAGGTCATGTCAAACAGAAAGGTCCTTAAGTGAATTAAAAAAGAGAATTAAGCTTGAGAAAAGAAAAAAGAAGAAGAGGGGCTCATAGAAAGTAGTTAAAGATTGCATTTTGACAAGATGATTTCAATCCTTATAAGGATCTGTAAATTGTCCCTTCTAATTTTAATAGTAATATTGTGTGAGGGGAGCCTAGCCGTAGCTGGTAAAGTTGTTCGAGCTGTTGTGGTAATAGCCTCTTGCAGGAATGCAAGATTTAGGAGTAGTTATATATGCAGTTGGAACTATCATGGTTTCTCATTTTGGTAAAATTAGATGTACAGAAAATTCCAACTATTTGAACAAGAAAGAATATTGGTTGCAAGTACTAGAAAAGATAATGTATGGAATTTCCGTACTGATGCTGAGATTTGGTTTGGGCAGCTGGAACTTTGAACTCAGATGAGGCAAGGGACTTCAGTTTGCCGTTGAAGAATAGGTTTTACCTTCAACCATTGACTCCAGCTGAGGCAGTCCAGAGAGTTAAGGATTCAGCCAAGGAGATTGTTAGCGTCAAGGATTTCATCGACAAGAAGGCCTGGCCTTACGTCCAGAATGACCTTCGTCTCAGAGCAGAATACCTTCGCTATGACCTTAAGACTGTCATCTCTGCTAAGCCAAAAGAACAGAAGGGAAAACTCCAGGACCTGTCGGGAAAGCTCTTTAAGACCATTAGTGATGTAAGTCAAATGCCTAAATTCTTGGTTAATAACATGAATGACATAGTATTTGGATGGGTTGCTTATGATTTCGCTTTCTTCTGACAAACCATTTTTATTTTCTTTCCTCAGCTGGACCATGCAGCAAAGACCAAGAACAGCGCTGAAGCACAGAAGTACTATGCTGAAACTGTAACTACATTAAATGATGTTTTGGCCAACCTTGGCTAGAAAGCTTTTCTGTACTATGTTATTACTTCCTGTAAGTTAACGAATACTTCTTGAATCAATTGTGAAGAATGATTTTGGAAGAATGTTTAAAATCTGAAACAACTAAGCGCTGCATCTGAGAGCCTCAGCTTGAGTTTTGCATGTGATTTTGATTGGGAATTTCACTTGATTGAGGCCTGGAAACAAAAAACATGGTTGCACCATTCCACATTACTCAATGTTACACTTAATCTGTAATTTGCTTCCCATAAAAAATCTACCTCAGTTAGGAAGTTTCACTACGTCTTCTGTCTTAAGTCCTTCCGGCTTGCAACACCAGAGCACATGACCAAATGGATTGGTTTAAACCGAACTTCACAAATGTACATAGGCTTACTGCAGACTCAAATTTAAGTACTTGAATGTTAAGCAGAGTATTAGTATGCAGAGGAATAGATGAGTAACAGCAAGGATGCTAATAGGAAAAGATGCAGTGAAATCATATTGCAATTAGACCCCAAAGTAGTTGCAAAAAATACATTGAATACTGAACTAGTAAAAGTATGAGTCAGACCAACAATGCTTTAATACATTCTTTTGTTCTTTTGGAAAAACAACGCAACTCACATTACTGTTTGCCTAGGACATATTATGAACATAAAATTACATTAGAGTCAAGAAAAAGCTACAAATAACATAAAATTCAAGAAATGTTACATGAAATATTAGGAATTTTTAAAAGGGAGATATGGGACTCGGTTATGATGAGTTCTCCATATATATTCTGCTTTCATTTCTCTCATATAGAGCACTGAGTTGATCTAATTCTGTTAGCAAAGGCTGCATATATTGGAAGAGAGTAATTTTTTTTTGTATTCATGCATGACCTCCTTGTTGATTCAGCTTCTTATCTTCCTGGATGGTGGCAGTAGCAGAGATGTAGTAGGAAACTGAGAAAAGTCCATGGATAAAGCACAATATCCCTCCTATCGACAAGAAACGATGGTGTGATATGCCACAAGATCTTCTTGCCTTCCCATTTGACAATGTTCCAGCTACCAGCAATGAGAATGCGATGGCCATAATGATCCTAGTATCAGAACAATTTCTTTTAAATCTACAACCATGAATAAGATAAGTAATACATAAACAAAGTGCACGATTTAATTAGCACCACAACATTCATTGCCCTCATAAATAAATCTGTCCATGCTACCACTAGGGGATATAATGTGATGGTTAGAATCTTTGAACCATTAATCAGAGGTCTTAGGTTCGAGCTCTTTCTGCAAGTGGAGAACCTTTTGACAAAGAGTGTTTTACCCCTTCGTGGTTCTACCCAGCACAAATCTAAATAAGTCGGAATGGGAGATTGGGGGGGGGGGGGGGGGGGGTTTGGAAATTACCATTGGAATACAAATGAAGCAAAAGCAAGTTGCTTGTTAGAAGAGGCCTTATCGAGCTCTTCCTTGGACTGGACGCAAATACAACCAGCAAGCAGATTAGAAATAACTTGTGCCAGAACCAAAAGTACTGTTGCAGCCAATCCTAGCTTAAAAGCTTCATAGCTTGGATCTCTACATTCAAAGATCCACACCTTTAAGTCTTGAACCTGTTCCAACAAATCAAGCCTAATTGTGTTAATTGCCACAAAATATAATTAAGTAGATAAAAGTGTACCCTCTCTATACTCAAGTATTTTAGACGAGATGACCACACATTTAACATAGTATAAGAGCACAAAAAGGTTCTAGGTTCAAGTCTCACTACTACCCGCTATCAAAAAAAGATCCCACATATTTGCCCCATGAATAAAAATCAGGTTGGTACATGAAGAAGCGTGTTAAGAATGTAGCAACTAAATAAGAGTATGTTGTATCCTAAACTTTTCAGATGAGGCAGTCACACATTTCAACAATTTATACTAATCAAATTTATGAAAGAATTACTCATCATTTACCTTATTTTGTTCTACCTCAGCTTGAATTCCTAGTATACCAGCAGCAACATCCAAAATCACAAGAAGAAGACAAACAAGAATGCCAATGTTTTTTGCCATCTTTGATAATCTAGTCGATTAATTAATTTCAAATTAGAGATGGCTGATAATCTTCATGGGAAAACAGGATATACCCTTTTATACAAACATAGAGAATGCATGAAAACAGCAAAAAAATGGAGTCCAACGTGAGAATCTGAATAAAGGAATGGATGCAAGAAACCTAATACTTAATGTTGTATATGATATATGAGTAAGATTAGCTGGAGCCTATGGAGAAAAAGTTTTCCTTTGTCTTGAAAGACCTCTTTATTCTACTTTACTTTCTTTGTTTTTTTTCTCTCTTTAGATTTCGATTCCTTTCATGGGGAACAAGGAAAGCAGGGTATCCCCAGCTCAAATTTTTTGTTATTCTCTTAATATGTTAAAGCCATATATATTCACTTGCATGTTACTGCAGCTTTCATCATATATATATATATATATATAAAGATGATTTGTGTCTTTAACTGAGAAGTATGCATAGATGGATTCTTTCTAATGGTTAAGTATTTGCCTTGAGATCATGCTAAAACACAAATAAGATATAAACCTAAAAACACAAATTTCGACCTTTGACCTTTCAAAATGGACTTGTTCTTGGAAACTTCTCTAAAAAGTAGACCTTACAAAATGGACTTTCTACTAGGAAAAATTAAGCGGTTAAGTAAACTTATACTATTTAATTATTCACCATAACTATAGTTTGTTATAATTATCACTCGCGACTAACATTAACCATTAATTATGTGGGCTGACTTCGAGTTTGTATATGTATAATTCACCACATTTGTATAATTCGCAACTAACAATTCTTTGGTTTGATTTGTATTTGTATACGATGTTTTGTATTTGTATATGATGATGATTTTCTTTGATTTTTCAGTTTTATCATCATATACATTCAATCTTTTTGTCTATAACTTTTTAAAGTTTGTATACCGTGTAGTTTTCAAATTTTGTATAATATAATTTATATAATGTAATTTGTATGATATATTTTGTATAATTGTTTAAAGTTCATATGTTTATGTTTGTATCAATTCTTTATTTCGAGTTTTATTATATTTGTATAATTCCACACTTTATATTACTCAATTATACAAAAACAAGCGAATTATACAAACGAGATGCGAATTATACAAATTATTGTCCTCTCTCGCTCGCCTCTCTCCTCCCTCTCCCAATCTCTCTCGCCAAAATATACAAATACATATGTATGATATACAATTATCTAACCGATATACATATACAATTCACCTCTCTCACACTCTCTACCCTCTCTCGCCCGCCTCTCTCCTCCCTTTCCCAGTCTCGCTCGTCACTCTCCTCCCTATAACATGTAGCTACGAATCATAATTAAAAAATTATAACTATGGAGCATAAATAGGCTATTTTTGAGTAGCTATATGCGAAAGTTCCTCTTTCTACTATTTGAAAGTGAAGAAACACTTTGCAGCTTTTTGTGAAAATCATTAAAGTCCAGCCCAAACATAGAAAATAACAATGAGTAAATTTTAGATTTAGCAAACATAAAAATCATATTTGTATGATATAGCTATAATTTGTATAATTGCGCTTCATGGCAATTATACATATACATAAAAAATATGTATTTGGATCTATTTGTATATTTTGATATACAGATGGGTCCTGCATTTGTATATTTCGGTATACAAATGGGTCATGCATTTGTATATTTGGGTCTATTTGTATATTTCGGTATACAAATGAATCCTGCATTTGTATATTTCGGTATACAAATGGATCATGCATTTGTATATTTCGGTATACAAATGGGTCTTGCATTTGTATATTTTGGTATACAAATGGGTCTTGCATTTGTATATTTTGGTATACAAATGGGATGACAAAAAAATATGAAATATTTGCTGCGAATTACAAGTGAAAGAAACTATGACTATAACATTAATTTGAATTAATAATTTGATATTTCATACAATTTTCTCAATAAACAATTATGCTGGACTCCACATGAAGAGAGTATCCAGTCCAATTAATAGATTTGGGCTGATTACTTCTGTTCATCCACATTCAATAAAAGCCCATCTCGGAATTGTAAGTCTACGTTTCAATTTATATAATATTTTTTAAAATTTATTTTAAAAAATAGTAGTATTATGTATCTTGATAGAATGATTATAATTTATTTGGAAATTGTTATAAACATGTTTGTATTATATAGTGAATATCTATTATGTGGAGTCCATTTAGGAAATGGTTAGAAATTCTACTTAGGGACAAGTTAGGTTTCCCCTCCTAGAGATATGTGAATCCCTATGAATAAGAAGTCTTCTCTCTACTTTATTTTCTTCTTGCTTTATATAGTTTCATAACACGTTATCAACACTAGGGGCGGATCTATTAAGGGGTGTGGGGGTGCCACGCCACCCCCGAACTTCAACGAAAACTCTATATATACATAGGTATATATATATAATATTTATATAAACATAAAGCGTGCCACCCAGAGAACAAAATTGGCTTGTGGTGCCACGGTAGGAGGGCAACTTTAGAAGGCTGATGTTGTGGGTTTCAAATCCCATTTGTACCTATTTTTTTGCGAAATTTGCTACACACATTCTTCTAAGAAAAAAAAAAGGCTCCAAGCACGTTTTTTTAAGGAAAAACAGCTAGCACATTTAATCGATAAGTCTATTTGGCATCCACAGACTCTAAATCCTGAATCCGCCATTGATCAACACGGGACTCTAATCAATAGAGAAATTAGATAGTAAGGTAAAATTGTCAATTGTATGTTGTCCGCTACAAAATCATTTCTAAGGTATGATAAGTTTTATTAAGTGTGTTCTTTAAAGTATTCTGACAGAGTCACTTTTGAAAAGTAAATCTTGAAACAAAGATGTAGATTAATACATATGCCTAATAATGACAATGATTTGTATAAAGAATAGTATATATGTGATCATCATTGCTTGATTTCAATTAAATCTTGTTCTTGATTTAATTTTCTATTTTATATGAAATTATTGAAGGTACAAAAAATAATTCATTAAGAGGGTAAGACAATTTGTGTCTTTAACTGAGAAGTATGTATAGATGGATTCTTTCTAATGGTTAAGTATTTGCCTTGAGATCATGCTAATGCCAATATTATATACTTGTTTGGTACAATTTATGCGACACTCTTTTATTTTTGTTTTTTCAAATAAGACATAAAACAAAAAATACATTTATAAAGATTCAACCTTAGACCTTTCAAAATGGACTTGGTTCTTGGAAACTTCTCTAAAAAGTAGACCTTTCAAAATGGACTTTCTACTATTTGAAAGTGAAGAAACAACTTTGCAGTTAATAGCTTTGGGCTGATTACTTCTGCTCCTGTACATTCAATAACAGCCCATCTCAGAATTGTTAGTCTACGTTTCAATTTATATAATATTTTTTAAAATTTATTTAAAAAAATAGTATTTTCTTCGTTTTAAAAAGAATAACCTATTTTAACTTGAAACAGAGTTTAAATAAAGAAAAAAAACTTTTTAATCATGTGGTTCTAAATCAAAGCTATGTCGAATATATCAAAATGCCCTTTAATCTTGTGGCCTCAACACATGTCACGTGGAAAGTTGAAGTTAAAGTGTTGCCAAAAAGGAAAGGGGTCATTCCTTTTTAAATAGACTAAAAAGAAAATTAGATCATTCTTTTTTAAACAGAATAATTATAATTTATTTGAAAATCATAAATTTCATTTTTTATTTTTAAGTAAGAAGATAAACTTTCATTTACATTAGTGTTGCTCTATTAAATATCAACCGTCTCTGTCACAAAAATCTAGAAATCCTACGTGTCAAAAAGGAACAAACTAGAAAACTCTTTTTCTGTATGTATCTGCCCATAACCGAAAAAGCTAGTGTTGGTTCTAGAAACCGCTGAAAGCTTCTTCAAATCATAATAATCGAAATTCAAATGAACACCAAAATTTTCAAGTTTACCCAAACAAATTGATAAATCATTCTTCTGAGCATTTGCATCCCTCTCCCTTCTCTCTCTCTCTCTCTCTCTCTCTGTGAAGGAGGAGGCAAAAAATGGCAGCGTACAGGTGGAAGAGTTTCAACGATGATGGAGATCGTCCAGAGAAACCTCGTCGCTATGGCGTTACAGAAATGAAGGGTCCCAACTATTCCCTTTTCTCGAGAGGCCTTCTTGAGGTAATGGCTTTAAGCTTGATCTATTGAATGTTGTTAATGTATTCCTAGTTTATTTTGATGGTCATTTAAGGGATAAATTCATGACTGCATATCATATGCCTTGGAATTCATAATTCTGAGTGCTGCTAGCTGTAGAGGATAATTTGCATAATCAATTGGGGGAGGGCACACTGGTAGTAAACACAATCAAAATTGATATAAGTAAATTGAGAGAAAAAGAGAGGTTGCGCGATTTTGGTATTCAGGATTCGTGTTCTCAATCGATTCAGAACTTCCTTGAGATAGAAAATTACAAACTTCTGTCGAAAAAGAAAGCTTAAAGGGGAGTATAAAATATCTAACTGAGCTGTATAGCCGTTTCCGAGAGTAACTTGATAGCAGATTGCTAAAATGACTTTGTGTACAGAATTCTGTGCTAGTTTATGTTCTTATGGTTCAAATTTGTTGAATTTCTCATTTTCTTGGTTCATAGGATGTTTTTGAGTCTATGGGTCAGTTTGTTGATGGGCTAAAACTATGTGATGGATCCCATACTGTGATGCCAAAGAATTACATCAAAGAAGTGACTGACATGGCACATAAACACAATGTTTATGTTAACTCTGGTGATTGGGCAGATCAAATGCTTCGCCGAGGTCCTTCTTCTCTTAAAGAATATATTGAGGTATAAAGTAGTTAATATGGCTTAAATGTTTCCTTTCTGATTGATTTTTTAATCTTAGTAATAACGTGTTACTTGTTGTAATCTCTTAGGAATGTAAGCAATTGGGGTTTGATTCAATTGAGCTTGATGTTGCATCACTTGGTCTACCTGAGGAGACCCTCTTGAGATATGTGAGGCTGAT